CCACTTCCAGTTATCTAGTGGTTTTATTGTAGATAAAAGTCTCACAGACTTTCCTGCCTGGGCTGGCTTTGAACTGTGATCCTCAGATCTCAGCCTCCTGAGTAGCTAGGATTACAGGCGTGAGCCACCAGCACCTGGCCATTTTTTTGTTTTTGGAGGAACCTTCACATTGCTTTCCAGAGTGGTCGAACAAGTTAACATACCTACCAACAGTGTATTAGGGTTCTACTTTGGCTGCATCCTTATCAGCATCTGTTACAGCCAAGGTATAGAGTCAGCCCAGATGCCCCTCAGTGGAGGAATGGATCAAGAAAATGTGGCATATGTATATGCACAATGATTTTTACTCATCCAGTAAAAGAATGGTATTGTACCATTAGCAAAGAAATGGAAAAACTTGAAAAAATATGTTAAATGAAATAAGTCAGGGCCAGAGAGACAAAGGAGGATGCATGTTTCCCGTGCATGTGGAAGCCAGATTTTGCTCATAACCTTGTAAGTGGATGTGGTGGGTGGTATTAAGCACATGCACATGTACTAACTGGAATACAGTAGATTTAAAAGAGAACTTAAATGCTGTAATTCCTAAGAAAGGCAAAGGCAAAGTTCAACAAAATTATCACCAGGAAGTGGGTACTTGAAAGGGTGTGGGGTGGGGTTAAGGGGGAGGGGAGATAAATGAAGTGGAGGAGAGGAGGAGAATATAGTCAAGAATCCAATGTATAGCCTACAAAATTAAGATGAGTGAGGGAAGGGGTGCATAGGGAAGGGATGGGTGAGAATGTGGAACGTCTAGGGTGGAATTTTGATTATTCAACTTAAAGAGGAGAGAAATTCTGATGCATGCTACACATGGATGGACTTTAAGGGTATTATGCTAAATGCAAGAGAGAATACACAGGCACCCATAGTAGTTAAACTCACAAGACAAAAAGTACTTGGGCACTAGTACTGGGCCTGTAATCCTAGCTACTGAAGAGGCAGTGTACTAATAAACGGCTTTGTTAAATGGCAGCTCCTTGTTACACCTACTTAAAGATAATTTTAAAAAAGTTAAAAAGAAAACAAAAAATCTAATGGAACCCAGATGTCGTTAGCTATACAGCCATATATGTTCATAAAACATTTTTGAATGAAAAGTGCTCAGAGACAGCGAGGATGGTGACTGTCCCCCACTCCTGTGGCCCCTCCTCCTATGCCCCCACTCCTGTGGCCCCTCGTCCTATGCCCCCACTCCTGTGGTTCAGACTTTTTCTTCATCTGCTTAGATCCTTGTAGATTAGCCAGGAAAAACTAGGATTCCTGCAGAAAGGTTTGAGTGATGTACAGTCTTCCACATGGCCCAGATGTCCTCTTATTATTTAGCTTAATTTTTTTTAGGTCAATGAATGATCTCTTCAAATGATGATAAGGTAGAGATAATTTCTGAGCAGACATTTTCCCTACTTTGCAAAGCCCGATCTGAAGACTTTTAGGTAGTCATGGTAACATCAAATGAATTAAACACTCATGGACAAGTGTTCACTAAGTAAACATACTTCAGGGGCCAGCTCAGATACCTCAGTGTTTGGGGGCTTTTCTGTGGTCTCACTGCGTTGTTTTATCCATCCTTAAATGCTCCCTCAGCCGTTAGCTCTGATTTCTAGAACAGCGCCTGTTCCATGCTGCTCAGCATCACTTGTCCGCGTGTCTCGCTGTTGCCTGGATAGTAGGCCCCAGAAGGGAAGAGCTCACCTTTGATTCCCCGGCACCTGGCATGTGTGGGATGGGATGTGGGCAATGGCTCTTGTGTGTTGGATGGATGAGTAATAGGGGAGCTCATTAATTTCATCTTTCACATTGGGCAAGAGGAGGACCTGTCACAGGGAGGTTTTTTTTTTTCTTCCTAACTTGTCAATAGTAAGTCACTGCTCTCTGTGACTTAGAAAAAGGAGTTTTTATCCTCTTCCCCATTTTGTTCTCCTTTCTCTTATTCCTTCTTCTTAATCACAGGGAAAGATACCTTAACTGTCTCCAGTTCAGGATCTTTCTGAAGAACACCCTTCTCTTCTTTCCAGGCAGGCATTAACGAGAACGACTTTTATGACGGGGCATGGTGTGCGGGCAGGAACGACCTCCATCAGTGGATTGAAGTGGACGCTCGGCGCCTGACCAGGTTTACAGGAGTCATCACACAAGGAAGGAGCTCGCTCTGGCTGTAAGTGGGCCTGGACCACATGTGCGGGGTTCCATGTCTTCTGGCTCCTCTTCAAAGGTTTGGACAGCCATGAGGTAGCTTACTAGAGGATCTGGTTAGGGGGTGATGTGAGGGAAGTAAACTGGAATGGACACTGCTCCTCCCTGTGCAAGAACAGAGAACAGGCTCCACCCAAGCTTGTGGGGCTGGGAAGGTGGCTCAGTGGTAGAGTGCTTGCCTCGCATGCATGAGGCCCTGGGTTTGATCCTCAGCACCACATAAGCAGAAGAAGCCAGAAGTAACACTGTGGCTCAAGTGGTAGAGTGCTAGCCTTGAGCTGAAGAGCTGAGGAACAATGCCCAGGCCCAGAGTTCAGGCCCACAACTGAAAAAAGAAAAACTGTAGTAGGCAGTTGGCTGCCATCTTGGATGGTAGTGACATAATGGTATCCTAACAGATGGGCTGGACGCAGTCTGAGGTGGGAAGTGAGTGGACGGGAAGGGAGTGGATAGTCTTCAAGGAGAGGGTCTAAACTGTCAGACTCTGGGAAAGAACTAGAAGTTTGGGTGGTTCCTAGATGAAGGACCACTGGAACAGTAGTACTGGAGGGCAGAAGGAGGAGCCATGTAGTGGGAGGCATGGGAATGAGATGGAAGGCCACGTCTCAGACCTGAGATAAGGGCAGGTCAGTACCAAGTATGATCTGATCCCAAGAGAGGTAGCTGCAACCTCCCAAGTCCCCCATTTCATAGTTTATGTCTAGGGTGGAATTTTGATTATTCAGCTAAAAGAGGAGAAAATTCTGATGCATGCTACACATGGATGAACCTTAAGGACATTATGCTAAATGCAAGAGAATGTGCATGGGCGCCTATAGTAGTTAGACTCTTAAGACAGAAAGTAGAGTGGTAGGCTGAGTGTCTACTCAGGAGACTGAGACCTGGAGGATCAAAGTGCAAACCCAGCCTAGGCAGAAAAGTTCAAGAGATTTTTATCTCCAAAATGCTAGGCTAGAGGCATGGCTCAAGCCTTGAGCAAGAAAGCAAAGTAAGAGTGCAGGGCTCTGAGTTCAAGCTCAAGTAGCTCAAGAAAAGGAAGGAAAGAAAGAGGGAAGGAAAGAAAAAAGAACAGAGCAGAAAAGAAAGTAAGGTGGTGGCCAATGGCTGGAAGAGCGGGGATGCAGAGCCAGAGTTTATGAAGACAGATTGAGCTTTGGGATGGACCATGGTGATGGTTATAAATCAATGTAAGTATACATAATGTTCTAGAGCTGGATGCACACCTTGAATTGGTTAAAATGAGGAATTTTATGTTATATGTCTTTTATGATGACACAAAAAACAAAATGTGAGAAATCTACCTTCTCTATCTCAGCCCAGGGAGAGAAGTAGAGATGGGGCAGGGGTGGGAGTGGGGGGAGCAGGGGTTCCAGCTTTGGGATGGGCAGGTAATAGCAGCCTGCAGACAGTGATGTGCCATTGTGGGGGCATGGTAGGCCTCCCCAGGCCCAGCAAGACCTCCGCACATGAGGACCACGAAAGAGAAGCCACCAACTTCTCCTCTCCTGTGTCCCTGAGGAGCCAAGAATACAGGGGCCCCTCAGCAACCTCAGGAAGTAGTGCTATAACTTGGTGAAAGTCACTATTTCTGAGCAAACTGTGATTAAAGGGCTGAGCTTAGCATCTGTCCTCACGTTTCACTACCTGTCATTGTCCCTGCAAAGGGGACCTTCTTCCGTAGTGACAATTACCAGGCAGTGACTCATCACCTGTTTTCCTCTACATTTCTTTTTCTTACTGTAAAGACAATACTGTAGCCTCCAGAAGCATTTTAAAACATTACCCAGGATTCCACTGTGTTGATGCAAATAGATTTTTTTTACACATTGCAATCATATTGCATATCCAATTATGCTATTTTTAACTTAATATATCAGTAACGTTTTTCATGCTGTGACTCAGGCTTCATGATGATGGTTTTTAATGGTTTGTAATTTACTCAGCCACGCCTCAGTCTCTGTCTCAATTTTCAGCTATCATATATCATACTGTAAGAAACATTTTCATACTTTTATATTCCTTTGAGTTATTTGCTTGAGATAAAAATTTCAGAGCTGGGATAATTTGTCAAAATGACAACTTTTAGTTATGTATTTGTGCTCTTTTGTAGGTGATGTTTTATTTGCTTTGCTTTTGAGGGGCACTTAGGCTGGCTGGTGGTGTTCACTTGTGCTGATTTTTGTGTGTGTGTGTGCATGTGTGCATATTGTGTGTGCATGCATGTGTAAGTGTGTACACGTACATGCACACTAGTCCTGGGGCTTGAACTTAGGGCCTCCAACTCTCCTTTGGCTTTTTCCCCACTTGAGCTACAGCTCTACTTGCAGCCTTTTGCTGATTGATTGGAGCTAAGAATCTCATGGACTTTCCTGCCAGGTTGGTTTGAACTGGGATCCCCAGGTCTCAGCCTTTTGAATAGCTAGGATTGCAGGTTGAGCCATCAGCACCTGGAATTAGGCTGATTTTTACTCTGTGATATACACTGTGTTCCCCTCAGAAGCTTAATTCCTATGACAGTTGTTTCCACTGTTCAGGTGCTAATAGGAAAGAATGACAACAAACATGGCAGTTGGGTTGCTCAATGAAAATAGAAACTTGGAAAGAAAGACTGGCTTGAGATTATTAATAACGAATGGGAGCAGGGATTTTGACCTTTCTGCTTGCATACCAACCTGCCTGGCCACTGTTATGAGATATCTAGCAGTTGGGTTATTATTGGATTAGAAAATAAGAGCAAAGTAGGTCTTAGGCTCAAATTCCATTTCAGCTAGAAACACAGGAGAGTTCGGGGTAAGCCAGAAATTACCATAGAATGATATCTTTCCTTGGCCTAGCAAGAACAAGAGCATCAAAGGAGGAAGGTGAAGGATAGAATTACTTTTAAAAGTCAGATTGAAAATAAACCTGTCCAAATGTATTTCAAGTCAAATTACTCTCAGGGATAATGGAAAGGAGAAATCTGATGAGTTTCAGTGTCCCCCTTGTGGCTGTCTCCACAGCATAGGGACAGGAAGTAGAACAAGGATATAGTTTGGTATCAGACACCTTTCTCTCAGAGGGCATGGATCATGCTTGAGGCAAGAAAATCTATTCCAGAGTGATGGGGAAACATGTCCACAGTAGATATCATTCAATACTAGTACTAGAGAAGACTGTCCCTTTTTCTTCCATTCTGATCTCTTATCCCCACCCTGTTATCATTACCATTTTAGTGTTTCCATGAAGGGTTCTGTATTTCTCTCCAGTGGTTGGTGAGGTCCTTGGTGATAGAGACACTTGATGGTCTGTATATCTGGGAAAGTGTCCAGTACCAGGAATCTGTTAAAAGCTCACTAGATAGCTGGGTGTTGGTGGCTCATGCCTGTAATCCTAGCTATTCAGGAGACTGAGATTTGAGGATTGCAGTTCAAAGCCAGCCTGGGCAGGAAAGTCTGTGAGACTCTTATCTCCAATTAACCACCAGAAAACCGGAAATGGTGCTGTGGCTCAAGTGTTAGAGAGTCTGCCTTGAGCTAAAGAGCTCAAGGACAGTGCCCAGGCCCAGAGTTCAAGTCCCATGACCGGCCAAAAAAAAAAAAAAAGCTCAATAGATGGTTCTTTAATGAATGAACAAATGGGGCAAATTGGCAAAGATTCATTCACACTGAATGTCAATCAGTTATCTGTGGCTTGGAACAGGCATCAGATATAAGGGGGAGGAGGGAGAAAATTTGGAAAGAGAGCTTGAGGCAGGGCAGAGACTTTCAGAGATGGATAGCTCAGAGAACGTAGAGCTGAGGACTCATGCCGTCCCCTCGGCTGTGCTGGTTAAGAGATTTTACTTCTCTGAACCCTAGCCTTTTGGCCTCAAAATGAGATGCCTGTTCTTTAAATACTATTCTTTCATAAAGATATGGGAATGGTTAGATACAATTGTATTGCTATGTTTTAAAATTGCGAAACACATAGGAAGTGCTAATTAGACGAGAGTTTTCCCCTCTGTCACTTTGGGTTCATCTAGAACAGTGGATTTCTAGTTTCATTTTTAGCCAGATTCTTCTCCCAAACAGAATCTAAACATGCTCCCCCAAATGCTAGTTCCTACTTTTTGAATTCTGCAGGTCCCAGGTAGATCTGGGATTCAAGTCAAACAAACAGAGTCTAAGTCATCTTTCTACTTAAGAACACACACTCTTCTCAAAGAGTGCTGCATTTGATTGGTAGGTTTTAGACCTGGAGAGAAAATGAGTTGCCAGTGATTCTTGTCGGTTGTTGATATACAGAAATACTTGGCAATAGATGGTGTTAAAAGTGTATACAGGAATATGGATAATACTTTTCACTTACAGAGTGCCATACTCTCGGTACTTTAGCTAGGGTCTTGTGCTTTTGCTCAGGGACAGCCTCAAACAGCAATCCTTGTCCATCTACCTCCTGTATAACTGTGATTGTCGGAGTATGTCACCATGCCTGGATATTGTTGGTGTTAAATTTTATTTTTTTTACTTAAAAATTATTATTATAACGATGATGTACAGGTAATACATTTCTTTTTGGACAATGTTTCTCCTTTCTTCACTTTCTCCCACTTTTTCCTCCCATCCCCACAAGTTGTATAGTTCATTTTCAACATAGTTGGTATTTTAAATGAACATCCATAAAACTTTATGTTCCTGACATTCTCTATAGGCATTTATCATAATGTGTATTGTGTGCTCTATACTAAGCACTAGGCATGCAGACATGAGTCTGCCATGAGCTTCCAGTCTCCCGGGAGAATCTGGTCTGTTAACGGCAAGTCCACCCTGACATGGCGCAGCAGGAGCTGGTGTCGGATCTGTGATAGCAAAGGGAGTGATGGGGCAGTGAGGTCCGGAGGCCACCCTGTGCTCGCCACTAGTTCACATCCAAGCTGGCGACAAAGTCTGCAATTCCCGTTTTCATAATCTTTTCAAATAATTCATGCTGTTTGAAAGTAATAAA